CAATTTTGAATTAATTTTCAAAAAAAAGGGAAGCGGTTTTGGTTTCAGGGCAGAGCTTCCCCAAAATTTGCATCTCCAGTTTTTAGAAAAATCACCCCAATGTATTAAAACAGGGGAAAAAACCGGGAAAAGCCTTCAATTGTTTTGTGGGGGGCATTGCGGCTTTGTGCTTTGCATTTTTTATGACCTTTTCATAGCCCACAGTGGGGAAACCTATTTTCCCTGAATTCAAAAGCATGGATGCCCAATGCATTCCTAAAGGACTCAAATGCAGATTGAAAAGCATGCTTTGCCTGCACCTGCTTCCACAGTACTGGGCAACCATTGCAATCACTTCTAAAAGTAGGCATTTACCACTTTTGGGTGCAACCATGAATTTCATTCTATTTAATGAATTGGATGAAAATCGCACCCCACTGAATAACCAGAAACACACAAAACATGGACAACCCTGTAAATTTCGGGTGTAAAAGGGCCCCCTTAAGGAGAAATTAGTTACCTACGGCCATACCTACCTTTAATATACAGTTTGCAAGAAAAAGGTATGTGAATCCCCTTGAGATTACATGGAGTTTTTTTGGCCATGAATTGCGTGGCATAAAAATGTGCTCTGAACGTCATCTAAAGTCACACACAATAGAAGAACACAGTCTGCTTGAACATAATACTACACAAACATTAGATGATGCATGGTTTAATTGCACATAATCTATCGTAAACTATTCACAGTACATGGAGGAAAAATATGTGAGGCCCTAGCTTAATGACTTCTCCCAGAGCTAAATGGAGCCAGGAGTGCGCCAACACTTGACATCCATCAGTGTTGATGATATGGGGATGTGTTGCTGAACAGCTGTCCTGGCCCCCTTAAAAAAACACACACATGTTTTGGGTTTACTGGTTTCAAAAGCACTGTCTGATGTGAACCATGCCTCGCAGAAAAGAGCTCTCAGGAAGTCCTACAAATCAAGAATTGTTGACTTGCATGAAGCTGGAAAGGGTTACAAAAAGTATCTCCAAAAGCCCTTGATGTTCATTGTCCCACGGTAAGACAGACTGTCTTACAAATGGAGAACGTTTAGCACTGTTGCTACTACTCACCCTAGACGTGGTCGTCCTGTAAAAATGACTGCAAGAGCACACCGCAGAAATGCTGCATGATGGTAAAGAAGAATCCCAGAGTGTCAGCTAAAGACCTACAGAAATCTCTGGCACATATCTAACATTTTTGTTGGACACATCTACAATAAGGGAAAACATTAAACAGAATGAAGAGTACATGGGAGGACACCACGAGGAAGCCATTGCTGTCCCAAAAAGAAATATTGCAGCATCGTTTGAAGTTTGCAGAAGAGCACCTGGATGTTCCATACAGCACTACTGGCAAAATATACTGTGGACAGATGAAACCAAGATTGGAGTTTTTGGGAAGAACACACAACACTATGTGTGGAGAAAAAAGGCACAGCCACACCAACATCAAAAACCTCATCCCCACTGTAAAACATGGCGGAGGGGGGGGGGGGGGGGGGGGGGCGAGCGGAGCTGGGAGCATCATGGTTTGGGGCTGCTTTGCTGCTTCAGGGCCTGGAAACGGATTGTTTGTCATTGATGGGGAAAATGAATTCCAGAGTTTATCAAGACATTTTGCAGGAAAACGTACGACCATCTGTCTGCCAACTGAAGCTCTGCAGAGGATGGGGTGATGCACCAGGACAATGACCCCAAAGCATACAAGTAATTCAACAAAACAATGGCTGCAACAGCACAGAATACGCCTTCTGGAGTGGCCCAGTGAGAGTCCTGACCTCAACCCCAAAAGATTGAAATGCTGTGACATGACCTTAAGAAAGCGATTCACACCAGACCATCCCAAGAATATTGCTACACTGAAACAGTTTTATGAAGAGGAGGGGTCCAAAATGACTCCGGATCGTTGTGCAGGTCTGATCTGCAACTACAGGAAACGTTTGGTTGAGGTTATTGCTGCCAAAGGAGGGTCAACCAGTTATTAAGTCCAAAGGTTCACATACTTTTTCCTCCCTGCACTGTGAATGTTTACATGTTATGTGCAATTAAACCATGGCAAACATCTAATGTTTGTGTAGTATTATGTTCAGCAGACTGTGTTCTTCTATTGTTGTGACTTAGATGTCGTTCAGAGCACATTTTATTGCCCAATTCATGCAAAACTCCATGTAATATCCCAAGGGGTTCACATACTTTTTCTTTGCAACTGTACTAATTGCTTTGTATGATGTAGGATGGGAGCTGATGATTTTCAAGTGTGTATCAGCAATCAATAAATCACTTTTTCAAGCAAGGCACACCATCCCAGGAAAGACGCTTTTTTACGTTGGAGCATCATTACGTCACTTCCGGGTCTGGGAATAGCTAAGTGAAAGCGAGGCTTGAAGTTCAAAGCGGCCATCTTTAAAAACATATATGCCTGAAACACTGGTGCTGGTTTACATGCACCTGTACAAGTGAGTGGAATATTTTTGTCTATGTGATTTTGAGTACTACACTTAGATAAGCTTATCACTTGTCTGATTCATTCATTGGCAGGCAACATTCCCATGGGAGGAATATCTAAAACCAACTTAAAGTATATTACGGGAAAAACCTATTGGAATTTCTTATATCTGGCTATAATTCATGGAGATTTAGAGGGAGAAAAATGGAGAATCCAACAAGAAAGGGTGGTTCCCTACATAACCAAAGGCGCATTTGACCACCATAACTGGGGTCAAAGGATCTGGTTAGTGAGTCATCTACACTTCACGGTTATGAACACGCGGTGAAGATCAGTCACATTTATTTTTTTTATATTTTTTATATATTTTTTTACATTTTTTTTCACATTTTTTTTATTTTTTTTTTACCGTTTGGAGTTTTCTATTACTCTATTTTTGGGACAGTTACAAGAGTTGTCATTATATTCATGTTCTTTTATTATTTACTTCACATGTTCACTATTGTTTAAATTGCTATACAGAGGGGTTACAATATTTTTTTTGGTCTAAGCACACATAACCACCCACAGCCACATCACACTGAATGCACCCAATCTTGTTTGATCTCAAAAGCTATGCAGGGTCAGACCTGGTTAGTATCAGGATGGGAGACCGCCTGGGAATACCAGGTGCTGTAGGCTAAAATTTGTTGCATGGACCAAAATTGAGATAACCCTCAGGTGGTACTAATCTTGTACTTGCACCATATGAAGTTTATTGTTTGGGCAAATGTAGCGCCTATCTATTTATATTTTATTTCCAGGAAAGAGCTCTGTTAGATTAGAGTTAAAGACCACACTACACAGAAGCACTTTGACTTGACAGTGTGGCTTCTACATAGATGTGTAAATATATGCAACTAATACGTGTAGCACTACCCCCTTAGGGGTTGCTGTTGATTTGGGTCCCCCTATAGTCCTGCACAGCCAGGCAATCACCATTCTCCACACGAGCTTGCGTTCAAAGTCAGAAATCAGTCCTTGAGCTTTTCTTTTGTGGTTTATTTAGGGGATTTAGAACTTTTCAGATATTTATTTGTAAAAAAATTTGAAAACCATTTATCATTTTCCTTCCACTTGACAAATATGTGCCACTTTGTGTTGGTCTATCACATAAAATCCCAATAAAAACATTTACATTTTTTGTTGTAACATGACAAAATGTGAAACATTTCAAGGGGTATGAATACTTTTTCAAAGCACTGTATATGGGTTGGATTGAAAGGTAATAAAACTATGTTGCAGGAGGGACTCAGAAAAAAAAAAAACTGTTGTGTTAAAGGATAAGTTCACCTTTGTGAACATATAACATGTTACACCCATATTTAAGGTGCAACATGTAACAAGTTCAGCATATGCCTCCTCTCCTCCCCCCCCCCCTCCCTGTAACAGTGGGCTGTGGATCTTCTCCCTGTATCTGTCACAAGTCAAAAAGGGCACAGCTGTGCAGGGCTCTGCCCATATGGCTGTGTCATTCATTCACAGAGTTCTGATGGCTAGTAATTCTCAATTAACTACCAGGGTAATGATCAACGCTCCAAGTAGTTCATTGATCTTCTTGTCATTCATTAACTGCCTTCCCATATCGGAAGTACGGGCAGACAGCTACATAGAGGGACTTCAGAAGCCTGACATTGCACCCACAATCTGCTGATTGTAGTTGCAATGCTTTACAGGCTCCTAAAGAAATGATAATAATTAGAGATGAGCGAAGTATTCAGAAATTCGATTCGGCTGATTCGGCGAATTCGAGGAATAAATTCGATTCGATGCGAATATATTCGCTGCGATTTTAACTTATAAAAGGGTGTTTTTAGGCTTCAGAGAGCCTTTATATTAGTGCAGAACACTGTACCTTTAATTTAAATGGAGTCTGCTGGGGAAGAGAAATAATACTGTCAGTCAGTATGACATGCAGATGAGTGCCGTCGATCTTAGAATCACCGCACACTTCACTCATTTGGGCAGTCACGGGGCCAAAACCAGAGTGTGGAGCCACAGTGTGGTGGTGGAGGCAGCAGCAATGGGAGGCCATACAGCACCCTAAGACAAAAATGGAACCCACCAGCAGTGTGAGGAGACCTGAAAGTGGCACATGGCAGAGTGTGGCGATGGAGACAGCAGCAATGGGAGGCCGTACAGGGACCCATGACACACACTCTGGACCTGGCAGCAGCATTAGGAGGCGGTACAGGGGCCCATGGCAGATTACGGGCCTGGCAGCAGCAATGGGAGGCCCGTAATCTGCCAGCACCCTATGACAAAATGGAACCCACCAGTAGTGTGAGGAGACCTGAAAGTGGCACATGTTTGGGGCATGATTCATGGCGGATTTAGTCAGTTGTGTCAGGAACTGGTGGTTTGAAATCCAGACTAATCCACGCCTGATTCATTTTCACAAACGTGAGTCTCTCCACACTTTGGGTGGACAGTCGTGTCCTCCGCGGAGTTCCAATACCTCCTGCCGCACTAAACACGCGCTCCGATGCCACGCTACTGGCCGGGCATGACAGCCTTTCAAGGGCAAATTCAGCTAGTTGGGGCCAAAGGTCAAGTTTCGTTGCCCAGTAGTCAAGGGGATTGTCTACCTCGGTTGGCAGGGTGCTGTCCAAGTAGGCCCAAGCCTGTTGTTTGAGGTCCTGCTCCAGGTCCACCTGATGCTGCTGTTGCTGCGGCTGGTTAGTAGTTTCCTCACTGCGCTGGTGAAGAAAGCTACTCATCATCGACTGCAGACTGAGGCAGCCGCTGCTGGTGGAGCTGCCACTGCTCCTACCACCCCACCCCTCCCCTGCTGCCATGGCAGCGGAACGCGAGCGCACAGGGCCCACAGTGTCTGAGGATGGACGTTGGCGCAGAAAGGCAGAGACCAGCTGACTATATAGGTGGTTTTTATAGTACTTTATTTTGGCCTCCCTCTCAGCAGGTGTGAAAAAGGCCACCATTTTTGAACGGTAGCGAGGGGTCCAACAAGGTGGACAGCCAAAAGTCATCCCTCTGTCTGATGGTTATTATTCGGCTGTCGCTACGCAAGCAACCGAGCATGCTATGGGCCATTTGTGCCAAGGAATGCGAGGGACTCCCTGCCTCCATCTCCACAGCATACTGCCACGGTGCGTCTGGGTCCTCTGTCTCCTCCTCCTCCTCCTCTACCAGATGCTCCTGCTCCTCCACTCCTGTCCGCTGAGTGGAAAAAACCACCCATTTCACTCAATAATTCCTGAGCACCAATGTCCTCCTCTACCTCCTCCTCTTCTTCCTGTCCTGCCCCCACAGGGGTCATGTGGCGTTGAGATCTGTGCGCCACGTCTACCGCACCCTGACCAGCCATGTTTAACAGCATTTGTTCCAGGACGTGCAACAGAGGAATGACGTCGTTCATCCCATAGTCCTGCCGACTCACGAATAGCGTGGCCTCCTCAAAGGGCCTGAGCAAGCGGCAGGTGTCACGCATGAGCTGCCAATGGCTGACATCTAAGTTACACAGGGAGTACCTTTATCCGCTTGTAACATCAGGAAATCTGTGATGGCCTTTCGCTGTTCGTAAAGGCGGTCTAACATATGTAGGGTTGAATTCCACCTTGTTGCAACGTCACAGCATGAGGAGGAGTCGGTACGGGGGCCCATGGCAGATTACGGGCCTGGCAGCAGCAATGGGAGGCCCGTAATCTGCCAGCACCCTATGACAAAAAATGGAACCCACCAGCAGTGTGAGGAGACCTGAAAGTGGCACATGGCAGAGTGTGGCGATGGAGACAGCAGCAATGGGAGGCCGTACAGGGACCCATGAGACACTGTGGACCTGGCAGCAGCATGAGGAGGCGGTACAGGGGCCCATGGCAGATTACGGGCCTGGCAGCAGCAGCAATGGGAGGCCCGTAATCTGCCAGCACCCTATGACAAAAAATGTAACACACCAGCAGTGTGAGGAGACCTGAAAGTGGCACATGGCAGAGTGTGGCGATGGAGACAGCAGCAATGGGAGGCCGTACAGGGACCCATGAGACACTGTGGACCTGGCAGCAGCATGAGGAGGCGGTACAGGGGCCCATGGCAGATTACGGGCCTGGCAGCAGCAATGGGAGGCCCGTTCGGATCTCTGCCAGCACCCTATGACAAAAAAATGGAACACACACAGCAGTGTGAGGAGACCTGAAAGTGGCACATGGCAGAGTGTGGCGATGGAGACAGCAGCAATGGGAGGCCGTACAGGGACCCATGAGACACTCTGGACCTGGCAGCAGCATGAGGAGGCGGTACAGGGGCCCATGGCAGATTACGGGCCTGGCAGCAGCAATGGGGGCCCGTAATCTGCCAGCACCCTATGACAAAAAATGGAACACACCAGCAGTGTGAGGAGACCTGAAAGTGGCACATGGCAGAGTGTGGCGATGGAGACAGCAGCAATGGGAGGCCGTACAGGGACCCATGAGAGACTCTGGACCTGGCAGCAGCATGAGGCGGTAGGCGGTACAGGGGGGCCCATGGCAGGCAGATTACGGGCCTGGCAGCAGCAATGAGAGGCCCGTAATCTGCCAGCACCCTATGACAAAAAATGGAACACACCAGCAGTGTGAGGAGACCTGAAAGTGGCACATGGCAGAGTGTGGCGATGGAGACAGCAGCAATGGGAGGCCGTACAGGGACCCATGAGAGACTCTGGACCTGGCAGCAGCATGAGGAGGCGGTACAGGGGCCCATGGCAGATTACGGGCCTGGCAGCAGCAATGGGAGGCCCGTAATCTGCCAGCACCCTATGACAAAAAATGGAACACACCAGCAGTGTGTGAGGAGACCTGAAAGTGGCACATGGCAGAGTGTGGCGATGGAGACAGCAGCAATGGGAGGCCGTACAGGGACCCATGAGAGACTCTGGACCTGGCAGCTGGCAGCAGCATGAGGAGGCGGTACACGGGGGCCCATGGCAGATTACGGGCCTGGCAGCAGCAATGGGAGGCCCGTAATCTGCCAGCACCCTATGACAAAAAATGGAACACACCAGCAGTGTGAGGAGACCTGAAAGTGGCACATGGCAGAGTGTGGCGATGGAGACAGCAGCAATGGGAGGCCGTACAGGACCCATGAGAGACTCTGGACCTGGCAGCAGCATGAGGAGGTAGGGGCCCATGGTACAGGGGGCCATGGCAGATTACGGGCCTGGCAGCAGCAATGGGAGGCCCGTAATCTGCCAGCACCCTATGACAAAAAATGGAACACACCAGCAGTGTGAGGAGACCTGAAAGTGGCACATGGCAGAGTGTGGCGATGGAGACAGCAGCAATGGGAGGCCGTACAGGGACCCATGAGAGACTCTGGACCTGGCAGCAGCATGAGGAGGCGGTACGGGGGCCCATGGCAGATTACGGGCCTGGCAGCAGCAATGGGAGGCCCGTAATCTGCCAGCACCCTATGAAAAAAATGAACACACCAGCAGTGTGAGGAGACCCTGAAAGTGGCACATGTTTGGGGCATGATTCATGGCGGATTTAGTCAGTTGTGTCAGGAACTGGTGGTTTGAAATCCAGACTAATCCACGCCTGATTCATTTTCACAAACGTGAGTCTCTCCACACTTTGGGTGGACAGTCGTGTCCTCCGGAGTTACAATACCTCCTGCCGCACTAAACACGCGCTCCGATGCCACGCTACTGGCCGGGCATGACAGCCTTTCAAGGGCAAATTCAGCTAGTTGGGGCCAAAGGTCAAGTTTCGTTGCCCAGTAGTCAAGGGGATTGTCTACCTCGGTTGGCAGGGTGCTGTCCAAGTAGGCCCAAGCCTGTTGTTTGAGGTCCTGCTCCAGGTCCACCTGATGCTGCTGCTGCTGCGGCTGGTTAGTAGTTTCCTCACTGCGCTGGTGAAGAAAGCTACTCATCATCGACTGCAGACTGAGGCAGCCGCTGCTGGTGGAGCTGCCACTGCTCCTACCACCCCACCCCTCCCCTGCTGCCATGGCAGCGGAACGCGAGCGCACAGGGCCCACAGTGTCTGAGGATGGACGTTGGCGCAGAAAGGCAGAGACCAACTGACTACATAGGTGGTTTTTATAGTACGTTATTTTGGCCTCCCTCTCAGCAGGTGTGAAAAAGGCCACCATTTTTGAACGGTAGCGAGGGTCCAACAAGGTGGACAGCCAAAAGTCATCCCTCTGTCTGATGGTTATTATTCGGCTGTCGCTACGCAAGCAACCGAGCATGCTATGGGCCATTTGTGCCAAGGAATGCGAGGGACTCCCTGCCTCCATCTCCACAGCATACTGCCACGGTGCGTCTGGGTCCTGTCTCCTCCTCCTCCTCCTCTACCAGATGCTCCTGCTCCTCCACTCCTGTCCGCTGAGTGGAAAAACCACCCATTTCACTCAATAATTCCTGAGCACCAATGTCCTCCTCTACCTCCTCCTCTTCTTCCTGTCCTGCCCCCACAGGGGTCATGTGGCGTTGAGATCTGTGCGCCACGTCTACCGCACCCTGACCAGCCATTGTTAACAGCATTTGTTCCAGGACGTGCAACACAGAGGAATGACGTCGTTCATCCCATAGTCTGCCGACTCACGAATAGCGTGGCCTCCTCAAAGGGCCTGAGCAAGCGGCAGGTGTCACGCATGAGCTGCCAATGGCTGACATCGAAGTTACACAGGGGAGTACCTTTATCCGCTTGTAACATCAGGAAATCGGTGATGGCCTTTCGCTGTTCGTAAAGGCGGTTTAACATGTGTAGGGTTGAATTCCACCTTGTTGCAACGTCGCAGATCAGGCGATGCTGTGGAATTCCGTTCTGCCGCTGCAGCTCAAGGAGGGTGTGCTTTGCGGTGTAGGAATGGCTGAAATGCATGCAAAGTTTACGTGACATTTTAAGGATGTCTTGCAGTGGGATGGTGGATTTTAGGAACCGCTTGACAACCAGATTGAACACGTGAGCCATGCATGGCGCATGGCACAACCTTCCTTGACGCAGAGCAGACACCATGTTCTTTCCGTTGTCGGTCAACATGGTTCCGATTTTCAGTTTGCGCGGAGACAGCCATCTGTCGATTTCTCTGTTCATTACACTCAGAAGTTCCTCCCCTGTGTGACTACGTTTGCCAAGGCATACCAGGTGCAGCACAGCGTGACACCGTTGCGCCCTGCACATGTGATATGCCGGTCGGGTAATGGGACTTGGCACGGGGGGTGGCGGCTGAGGACACGGCGGAAGAAGAGGTGGTGGTAGAGGCGGACATCTTTTGTGGACCAAGGACGTGCAAACGTGGAGGCAAAAGCGGCGTGACCTGTCCAAGTTGCTGGTGCGGCTGTGCCGGCACCACGTTCACCCAGTGGGCCGTAAATGACATGTACTGTCCCTGACCGTAGTTACAGCTCCACACGTCGGCGCTGCCGTGCACTTTGGCAGAGACCGACATGCTCAAAGACTGGCCCACCATCTCTTCTACATGTGAATGCAGGGCTGGCACTGCCTTTTTGGCGAAGAAATGACGGCTTGGCACTCTCCACCGCGGCGCGGCACAAGCCATCATTTCTCGGAAAGGTGCTGAGTCCACCACTTGGAAAGGGAGGGACTGCAGCACCAGCAACTTGGACAGGAGGGACGTTCAGCTTTTGCACCGTCGGGTGCGTGCTCGCAAACTGTTGTCTCTTGGAAACGGATTCCAAGAAAGACTGCTGACGGAATCCGTGAAGAGGAGTAGCAGGAGAAGGAGCATCTGAACGAGCGGAAGATGCCAACGAGCGACAACTCCCCTCAGCAGAGGTGTTGGAGCCTTGACTGGCTGATAGAGGGCGATTGACGTCGGGTGACGGAGCAAGTAACGGAGCGGGTGATGGAGCGGGGGCTGGGGCAGGCAGAACCGCCGTATCTTTATCACGGTTTTCCCAGGCCACCAAATGGCGACGCTGCATATGCTGCCGCAACGCTGTAGTCCCAACATGGGCCCCCTGGCCACGCTTGACTTTCTGGCCACATAGTCGACATACGGCTACGTTTACTTCCTCGGGCGGCTTGACGAAAAATTGCCACACCGCCGAGTAGGAAACTTTGCCCCCGATACTCCTCACTGGCTGACTGCTACTTCCTCCGTGCACACCGGCACCACTACTGGCCGTGGTGGTAGGCTGCAGTGGAGCTGGTGCTCTACTCCGTGGCCGTTTGCCTCCACTGACACTGCTGCGACCCTGCTGCCTCCTGGGCAACCCACCGACTGTTTTGCTCGCTGCCAAGCTGCCACCCTCTTCTCCTGATGATGCGGAAGCAATAGCCTGATGACGACGAGGCTGCCAAGTGCGATCAGCCTCATCATCATCAATTAGGGTCTCCGCCTCACTACTAGCCCCCTCGGCTGCGTGTGGGTCAGGAGACAGACCTGTCTCTAGACCGGCTACCGAGCCACTCTCCTCGCCAGTACTTCTTCGCCTGGCTGCTGAAGAGGCGGATGTCTCCCCCGTTCCTGACCGCCCTCTGTTAGCTCTTCCTCACTGTACAGTGGGGCTGAGCCCACAGCATGCGATACTTCGCTTGGTGAGGGAACACCAAAGGACAGGGGCAGGTAGAGGACACGTGATTTCAGTGGGCTTGCTCCCGGGCCATGCCAACTAACGGTTGTGTCTGACGTACCCACCGACCGTTGGCTGTAGGTGTCAGAGGTGACCTGGGAAGAGGAAGACGACCGAGCCAACCAATCGATGACGGCAGGGTTGTCGGTGGAGACACGACCGCTGGATGACACCGGGAGCACTGGCCTCTGGCTGCGACTAGTGTTGCCTCGACCCCTTCCTCTGCTGCCACGTCTGCTCGCTCCTCCTAAAACATTGCCTCCTCTGCCACTCCTCTGCATGTTGTCTGACATACTCTTTAATTCAACGATTATGTGTCCCTGAGTAACAATTCTGTGTCCCTGAGTAACAATTCTGTGTCCCTGAGTAACAATTCTGTGTCCCTCAGTAACAATTCTGTGTCCCTCAGAAACAATTCTGTGTCTGTCCATGAGTAACAATTCTGTGTCCCTCAGTAACAATTCTGTGTCCCTCAGTAACAATTCTGTGTCTGTCCCTGAGTAACAATTCTGTGTCCCTCAGTAACAATTCTGTGTCCCTCAGTAACAATTCTGTGTCCCCCTGAGTAACAATTCTGTGTCCCTCAGTAACAATTCTGTGTCCCTGAGTAACAATTCTGTGTCCCTGAGTAACAATTCTGTGTCCCTGAGTAACAATTCTGTGTCCCTCAGTAACAATTCTGTGTCCCTCAGTAACAATTCTGTGCCTGTCCCTGAGTAACAATTCTGTGTCCCTGAGTAACAATTCTGTGTCCCTCAGTAACAATTCTGTGTCCCTCAGTAACAATTCTGTGTCTGTCCCTGAGTAACAATTCTGTGTCCCTCAGTAACAATTCTGTGTCCCTCAGTAACAATTCTGTGTCCCTCAGTAACAATTCTGTGTCTGTCCCTGAGTAACAATTCTGTGTCTGTCCCTGAGTAACAATTCTGTGTCCCTGAGTAACAATTCTGTGTCCCTCAGTAACAATTCTGTGTCCCTCAGTAACAATTCTGTGTCTGTCCCTGAGTAACAATTTCTGTGTCTGTCCCTGAGTAACAATTGTGTCTGTGTCCCTCAGTAAACAATTCTGTGTCCCTAAGTAACAATTCTGTGTCTGTCCCTGAGTAACAATTCTGTGTCCCTGAGTAACAATTCTGTGTCCCTGAGTAACAATTCTGTGTCTGTCCCTGAGTAACAATTCTGTGTCCCTGAGTAACAATTCTGTGTCCCTGAGTAACAATTCTGTGTCCCTCAGTAACAATTCTGTGTCCCTCAGTAACAATTCTGTGTGTCCCTCAGTAACAATTCTGTGTCCCTGTAACAATTCTGTGTCTGAGTAACAATTCTGTGTCCCTCAGTAACAATTCTGTGTCCCTCAGTAACAATTCTGTGTCTGTCCCTGAGTAACAATTCTGTGTCCCTCAGTAACAATTCTGTGTCCCTCAGTAACAATTCTGTGTCTGTCCCTGAGTAACAATTCTGTGTCCCTCAGTAACAATTCTGTGTCCCTGAGTAACAATTCTGTGTCTGTCCCTGAGTAACAATTCTGTGTCCCTGAGTAACAATTCTGTGTCCCTGAGTAACAATTCTGTGTCCCTCAGTAACAATTCTGTGCCTGTCCCTGAGTAACAATTCTGTGTCCCTGAGTAACAATTCTGTGTCCCTCAGTAACAATTCTGTGTCCCTCAGTAACAATTCTGTGTCTGTCCCTGAGTAACAATTCTGTGTCCCTCAGTAACAATTCTGTGTCCCTCAGTAACAATTCTGTGTCTGTCCCTGAGTAACAATTCTGTGTCTGTCCCTGAGTAACAATTCTGTGTCCCTCAGTAACAATTCTGTGTCCCTCAGTAACAATTCTGTGTCTGTCCCTCAGTAACAATTCTGTGTCTGTCCCTGAGTAACAATTCAGTGTCTGTCCCTGAGTAACAATTCTGTGTCTGTCCCTGAGTAACAATTCTGTGTCTGTCCCTGAGTAACAATTCTGTGTCCCTCAGTAACAATTCTGTGTCCCTAAGTAACAATTCTGTGTCTGTCCCTGAGTAACAATTCTGTGTCCCTAAGTAACGTTTCTGTGGCCCTAAGTAACGGTTCTGTGTCCCTAATTAACGATTCTGTGAACCTAAGTAACGTTTCTGTGGCCCTAAGTAACGTTTCTGTGGCCCTAAGTAACGATTCTGTGGCCCTAAGTAACGTTTCTGTGGCCCTAAGTAACGTTTCTGTGGCCCTAAGTAACAATTCTGTGGCCCTAAGTAACGATTCTGTGGCCTTAAGTAACGTTTCTGTGGCCCTAAGTAACGTTTCTGTGTCCCTAAGTAACGTTTCTGTGGCCCTAAGTAACGTTTCTGTGGCCCTAAGTAACGATTCTGTGGCCCTAAGTAACGTTTCTGTGGCCCTAAGTAACGTTTCTGTGTCCCTAAGTAACGTTTCTGTGGCCCTAAGTAACGATTCTGTGGCCCTAAGTAACGTTTCTGTGGCCCTAAGTAACGTTTCTGTGGCCCTAAGTAACGATTCTGTGGCCCTAAATAACGTTTCTGTGGCCCTAAGTAACGTTTCTGTGGCCCTAAGTAACGATTCTGTGGCCCTAAGTAACGTTTCTGTGGCCCTAAGTAATGTTTCTCTGGCCCTAAGTAACGTTTCTGTGTCCCTAACTCTCTCCCTCAATACAGCCAGGTCTGCCTCTCTTGAATGACTGGAGGCAAATGGAGAATTCTAAAATGGCCGCCATTTATAGCTCGACCATTACACAGTGCTGGCTGGCTGGCTGCTGATTGGCTAATGCGATCACATGTCATGAATGAATGCATTATGGGTCATGTCGCCGCCATTTTAGGAAAAATTTCGATTCGCGCATCCGAAGTCTGCTAATTTTCAGATTCGTCGCGAAAATTTTCCTAATATTTGAAACGAATTCCACTTCGCCGAGTTCGATTCGCTCATCTCTAATAATAATAATTGCACATTTTTTTACCTGCAAAAAATGTGCAGGTTTTTTTATAAGGTGAACTTATCCTTTAAGGATATTGGCAAACCTCACCCTATATGTTATTTTTTATTTTGTTCATAGTTCCAATTTAAAAGTGAAAAAATTGCATGCCATACAGTTTAATCTGCTCATAAGGTACTGTGTTTAGCTATGTTATGAATGGTATGTATCCATAGCTACCTGTGAATACAGAATAATATGTATAGGTTTAGCAGTACATAATAGTAAAAGTGCTGTATGGCAAGGTTGACACATTGTAAGGTAACATGTAATATGGATAGAGATAATAGGATTTGCTGCTGAGCATAATGACTGCTGTCAGTGTCCTATGTGTTTTTTCATGTAATATGCACTTTTTTAGACCGCCTATGTGTCAATCCATTACCTGAAAGAAAGGCAGGAATAAACTAGCAGCAGCAAACCATGTGAATGATTCTGAGAGTTTGTAATGAATAATAAACTATATATAATAACAGACTTGTGCCAGCTTTTAAGAAAGCATGCCTAGAGGCAGAATGAGTGAAATAGAGTTGTGCAACACGGGCCATTCTACCCATCCTGTTTAAAGAATAATTCAGCCAGGCACTGAAAAAGTCAATGTTGGCAGAAAATCACACAAAGTAATTCCACTTACCTTTTTCTTTACTGCAGGGAGATCATCTCTCAGTCTTGGTCTCATGCTGTGCTGTCACTTCAACAAAAACTATCCAGAAAGATATCTAAAGAGGATCTGCATGGCTAATTAACAAGCAAAGTGGCACTTGAGGAGCACAGCTGCATGCAATTCACTCTTGGAGAGCCATTGGACCCCTGAAACTCTGCTCTCTGTAAAGCTCACCATACACATTACAATCTGACCATATGATTGCCTTTAGACCTACCAATGACTTTGGCGTAACAGCCTGACTAGAGGCAAATTGAATGGATTGCTTAGCAAGGTCCTCATATTATACACATTTGGTAAAAAAATGTACAGTCAGATTGTAATAAGTATGGTGAGCTTGAAGCAGCTACTAACCAAGCTACTATGTTTTGTGGACTATGATCTTTCCTTCCCACCTCTTACACCTCACCTGGAAAATTCATTATAAGGCTGCCTTTTCTTATGTGTTACTTTTTTTTAACCACTAGACTGGTGGAGGGTAAATTGAGCTTTTACAAACCTTTTAAATAGATTGGCCAAAAGAGAGGTGCAGGAGGTAGGTGTAGGGTGAGTCAGTGTCTAGGTGAGCTTTTCCAGCACAAAGTGTCACAAGTTTTAGCACCTGGGGTGTTTTAGAAGGAAGTATGGTGACGAGTAGAGATGAGCGAAGTATTCAAAAATTCGATTCGACTGATTCGGCGAATTCGTGGAAAAATTTCGATTCGAGTCGAATATATTCGCTGTGAATTTAACTTAAAAAAGGGTGTTTCTAGGCTTCAGAGAGACTTAATATTAGTGCTGAACACTGTAC